TTTGACCGTGAAAATTATAGTGCATCTGTTATGGTTTGGATATGGTTTGTTTGTTTCCATCAAAACTCATGTTGAAATTTGATCCCCAGTGTGGTGGTGTTGGAGGTGGTGCCTAGTAGGATGTATTTGAATCATGGGGGCGGATCCCCATGAATGACTTGGTGCCATTCTTGCAGTAGTGAGTTCTCACTCTCACAAGACTGGACTAGTGCTCCAGGAATAGATTCCCCTGGCCAAGTGCAGTGGCTCACACCTATAATCCCAGCAATTTGGGAGGCCAAGGCAGGCAGATCACTTGAACTCAGGAGTTTGAGACTAGCTTGGGCAACATGGTGAATACCCATCTCTACTAAACACACACACACACACACACACACACACACACACACAAAGTTACCTGGGTATAGTGATGTGTGCTTGTAGTCTCAGATACTTAAGAGGCTGAAGTGGGAGAATCACCTGAGCCCGAGAAGTCAAGTCTGCAGTGAGCCATGATTGTGCCACTGTACTCCAGCTTGGGTGACAGAGTGAGACCCTGTCTCAAAAAAAAAAATTCCTCTGAATGGAGGTTGTATAAAGTGAGGTTCTTCCTCCTCTTTGATCTTTCTGCACACATGTTCACTTCCCCTTTGACCATCATCATGTTCTGACCTAGCTCAGGCCCCTTATCATAGGCCGAGCAGATGCTGGCGCCATGCTTCCTGTACTTTCCACCCTGCAGAACCGTGAGCTAAATAAACCTTGTTTCTTTATAAATTGCCCACTCACAGGTATTCTGTTATAGCAACCCAAATAAGACCAAGACAGCACCTGAATCAGCTAAATTGCTTTCCACTGCAAGTAACAGAAAGCCTAACTCCAATCGGCATAATCAAATATATTATGTCATATAACACGAAGTCCAGAGGCAGGACGGATTCCAGGCATGCCACATCGCAGGGCTCCAGCCCAACGTTGTGACAGTTTTCTTGGCCCTGGCCTCCTACTTGACTGCTGGTGAGGTAGCTACAGTCATTATAGGTATCACGATACAACAAAGTCCAAACCAGAAGAAGAAGAGAGATTGTCTCTTTCTTATAGGTCTTTACTATAGGGAAGGAAACTGTTCCCAGAGGCAGGAGACTCTCTCATGGCTCATTAGTCAAGACTAAGTTACATTCCTGTTTCAATCCATTCAGTGGCAAGGGGGATGGGCATAGTTAATACTAGTCATAGAGGTGGAATAGATCTTTAGAGTCAACCATTACCACTTATTGGTACAGAGCATGTTTGTCTCTTTCTGAAGAGATTTACATGGAGATTAATGAATGTGAAGGGAGATGTCGAGGAAGTGTGTATGTGTGCGTGTGTGTGTGTGTGTATAATAGTGTTTGGCTAATGAAAGTGCATGATCTCAGGCCTCAAACTGCACTGAAAGAATAGCTTTTATCCACAATAGTTCTCAGATGATGAGAGCACAGAAAAGTACATCATAGCCTGGGACCCATGGAAAGGTGAAGCTTATTGCAGAAGTTACCATGGGCTTGCACATTTCCACAAACACCTGCACTCTCCTATAAGGGGTTGTAGGCTGCTCTTTCGGAAGCTCTTGGAGAAACCTTATTCCCTGTTAACGTGCTTTTCTATAATCTATAGACTAGACTAGCCACAGGCAAATGAGAACAAGGTGGATGCCCACATAGTGCAACTTGACATGAGAAAGAGGCCCTTTACCCTCCAAAACTCTCCCCTGCAGAAACAAAGCAAACCGGCCGGGCATGGTGGCCCACACCTGTAATTCCAGCACTCTTGGAGGCCGAGGTGGGTGGATCACAAGGTCAAGAGATTGAGATCATTCTGGCTAACACAGTGAAACCCTGCCTCTACTAAAAATATAAAAAATTAGCCAAGCGTGGTGGCATGCGCCTGTAGTCCCAGCTACTCAGTAGGCTGAGGCAGGAGAATGTGAACCCGGGAGGCGGAGGTTGCAGTGAGGTGAGATGATGCCAGCCTGGGAGACAGAGCAGGACTCCATCTCAAAAAGAGAGAGAGCAAGCGAGCGAGAGAGAGAGGGAGAAGGGGAAGAGGGAGGAGGAGAGTGGAGGGGAGGGGAGGGGAGAGAAGAGAGAAAACCAAACGCACAAAATCACAAAAACCCAGTTAGCTACATGCTAATTTATAGACTAGACTCAATAAATAGCTATGGGACCAGACCGGTCTCGGCTAAATGGTGAAGCCTCATCTCTACAAAAAAATATATATATATTATTTTTATTATTTTTTTTAGATACAGTCTCTCTCTGTTGCCCAGGGTGGAGTGCAGTGGTTCGATCTTGGCTCACTGCAACCTCCGCCTCCCAGGTTTAAGCCATTCTGTCTCCCCAGCCTCCCCAGTAGAGTCAGGGTATATTTATTAGAGACAGGATTTCACCATGTTGGCCAGGCTGGTCTCGAACTCCAGGCCTCAAGTGATCCTCTGGCCTCAACTTCCCAAATTCCCTTGGATTACAGGTGTGAGCCACTGTGTCCAGCCTATAAAAAACAAAACAAAACAAAACAAAATGTTTTTCAAATTAGCCAGATGTGGTGGCGTGCACTTGTAGTCCCAGCTACTCAGGAGGCTGAGGTGAGAGGAGCCCAGGAGGTCGAGACTGCTGTGAGCTGTGATAGCACCACTGCTCTTCAGCCTGGGCAATAGAGTAAGACCCAACCTCAAGAAATAAAAAAGAAACCACTTTATCATTTTGCGAAAATTTCTAGTAAGACAGACACATCTATGTAAAACACGTGAGAAAATAATGTGACAAAGGAATTCAAGTATGTGTCCTACTTGAGCCAATATATGGCAAAGAAACCACAAATATAAGATTCTTGGGAGAGGGATCTGTGTAGCTCTCTGGGAGCTCCCCTGCTCCTAATCTGGCTCCTGAGGAGGACACTGGGATTCGGTTCTTCATCTCCTCCTTGTTGATAAGAAACTGGCACATTACATTAAAAATTAATCAATACATCTCCAAAGAATAAAGTGTGATCTTGGGTTCATTTTGGACACTCCTAAGAAGAGTGAGGAGGTATGTGCGAATTTGGTGTTGGGATGTTTAGGGCGGAAATGTTTATATTTGACTGATGCAGAAATGTGTATCAGTCATCGTGGAACCCCTCAAGCATTTGACCCTGGCTTTACTATTTGGTAGCAAAAGTGCACGTGTCTCCCTAAGATGTGAACAGCTGGAATAACAAGGAAACTTCCCTTTGGGAATAGAAGTTAGTATTTCAGGTCAGATCTGTTCATAATTTATTGCTTCTTTTTTTGGGGAACATTTACTAGCTTCCTTTTTTTTCTTTTTCTTGAGACAAGAGTCTTGCTCTGTCACCCAGGCTGGAGTGCAGTGGTGCAATCTCGGTTCACTGCAACCTCCGCCCCCTGGGTTGAACCAATTCTCCTGCCTCAGCCTCCCGAGTAGCTGGGATCACAGGTGTGCACCACCACACCTGGCTAATTTTTGTATTTTTAGTAGAGATGAGGTTTCACCATGCTGGCCAGGCCGATCTCGAACTCCTGACTTCAGGTGATCTGCCTGCCTTGGCCTCCCAAAATGCTGGGCTTACAGGCATGAACCACCGTACCTGGCCTAACTTCCTAAAGTATCATTTCTGGCATTTTTATGGGGTCATGCACCACTGATTGAACACCACCAGGGTGCCTGTGTCATGACTGTGTTGTTCGTTTCATCCTCACACAGTCCTGTGTGACTGAGAATCATTATAATAGCATTGTGACAAAGAGCACTGGGGTCAACCCTGGGCTCTGTACTAACTAGCCAAATGCCCCAGGGTGCTTCTTTTTAAAAACATAAATAAGGAGATAATAACAGTACCTACCTCACGAGATGGCCATGAGAATTAAATGAGCTAGGGAATGTTAAGTATGCTTCACTCAGCACCTTGCAAATAATAAGCACTTAGTAAATGTCTGCTTGTGTTTTGTTGTTTTCCTCATTTTACAGGTAAAAAAGTCATATCTCCAAGAGATTAAGTAACTTGTCATATCAGAGAGAGGTTAAGTAAATTGCTTAAGGTCACCACATAAGTAAGTCATGAGAGAGGAATTCAAATCCATTTATCTAATTTCAGGTTTGTCCAATTCTAGAGTCAGATATTTCACAACTATGCTATCTTTCTGTTGAATAGTCTATTTCAGACACTTTATTCCAGTTACACAGGATAATGGGATGAAACTCCTAAAAGTTGGAAATTTAAAATAAATATTTTTGTTGCCATCCTGAGTGTTCTGCACTTAGGAGGCATTCAGTGGATGTTGCTGCATGACTGAAAAATGGCAAATCTATGCTTAAGACCTTGATAAACTACCATGTTGCAGTTTTCAGTAATAGACCGAAAATGTAATAATACTCATATCTCAGCAAGGTGAAGAGGTTTGCCTGAGGCCATAAAGCTACCAGGTGGCAGAGCTCTGGGGAGAAGTGTGTGTGGCTGCATTAATGACCCATGTCCCTAACTGCCCTGCTGAATTGTCCCCTCACTTTTAAAAAGCTCCCAGTGTGTTTCAGAGTGAATTTAGTATAGTATATAGAAAAACCTTAAGGAACGAGGACCCAAGAATCAGGCTTTGTTCGCTCTGCTCTGATGAAATAAATGCCATCAAAGGAAACACGAAAAACCAAAAAAAAACAATATGCAAAACCAAAACAAACCAACAAATAAACTAGCCAATAAAGGAAACACTCTCATGCTTGGTTTGGGGTGGGCATGGGACCCCACAAAGTCAGTCAATTTCCATGCCATCTGCAACTTCTCTATTTCTATCTGTTACTATGATCTTTACTCATGACGACCATCTTCGAGAAAAGATTTAGTTCTGCTAACTGTTCTATGTTAGAGAATGGAGCTAAAGTTTCAACAAGTTATGAAGCAAAAAAAATGTTCTCAGTTTATCAGAAAATGTATATTTATCTAAATGTTCCAACTATAGTTAATAGATTTTTTTTTTTTTTTTTTAGTAGCCACAGAACTTCTTTTATTGCAGTTTCTTGGATTACAGTATACTGTGTGTCAGGTTGCATGTGCCCAAATAGATTAACCAACTAAAGAAAAACCTGGTGTGTTTCGTCTAGCCTATAAGGTAAGGTTTTCCTTTAGCACCAGGACTTTAAAGCCATTCTGATGCATTGTGTTACAGCAAATATAATAGATTACTCAATTCTGAATATCTAAATCACCTTAAAATATAAAAATAAATATATTATTTTATTATATGTGAAATTTTAGCTCAAAAAGAAAAAACCCACCACCAACTGTATTTATTCTAAACTCTGTTTAACAATATGCAGGCTGGCATGTTTGGGGGTGATGTATACCGATGTTTTCAACTGGATTTGTAGTGCATCAAAATAATAAGGATTTTGGATGGATAAGGGGATGGGTAGAAAAATATGCGATAATACCACTGCACAGTTCTTTCAGCTTTTCATTAGGTTTAAAATTTTTCAATAAACTGTTGGGGAAAAACATAAATGCATGGATTAAACTACTTGTAGTCAGACATTATTTAAAAGAGTCCAGAAAATGCTTGTATTATAGAAAATCTCACATTAAGTGAACTTGATTATGAAAACATAGAATTAATACTGACTTTGGTTGCAATTTATGAAGTACCCAGTATGTGCCAAGAACTTCACATAGTGCTTAATAAATGTTATCTAATTTAATACAAGTGTCATTTGAAGTAAGGGGAATTATCCTTGTTTTACAGTTAGGGAACAAGCGTGAAGGGTACATAACATGCAGAGCGTACACATCCAGTGAGCAGCACGACTCTGAGTGAAACCGTGTCTGTGTCTGCCTGGGTCTACAGCCAATGCTGTTAGCCACTGCACTCCAGGAAAGGGAAAATTGAACTGGAAACCTTTATTATCTAATTCAATGTCCCCACTCCTTGTTACAAGTGACACAGATGTTCGTCAGCACTAGAATCCCAGAATTTCTACTCTTCGGTCAAGGCTTTTCCTGCTAGTCACCATGTGTCTCTAAATACAGCTGTTTTGTTGTTTTTGTTTTGAGATGTAGTCTCCCACTGTCGCCCATTCTGGGGTGCGATGGCTCAATCTCGGCTCACTGCAACCTCCACCTCCCGGGTTCAAATGATTCTTCAGCCTCTGCCTCCCAAGTAGCTGGAATTACAGGCACACACCACTACGATCTGCTAATTTTTGTATTTTTAGTAGAGATAGTGTTTCACCATATTGGCCAGGCTGTTCTTGAACTCCAGACCTCGTGACCCGCCTGCCTCAGCCTCCCAAAGTGCTGGGGTTACAGGCATGAGCCACTGCGACTGGCCCGTACAGGGTTTTTTTACAAAACGGATTCACTATAGGATCCCTATAAGTAACAAATTTCCATACTGCACTTCAGCTATAATTTGATATAGTAGAATTTCATCTCTATACTTTTTTTTTTTCAGATATCATATATGTTGTAAACAGGGACACCCTAATGCTCTGAATAGTATGTCCAAAAGTGTAACATTAGCTTGCTCTTTTGAATGAACTCGAATTGTGCAGATTTCCCTGATAGGAAAAAGGCAAGACATTCTGAAATACTTAATACATATATATTCCGGCCATTTGAGTGAAAATGCTGTAATTCTGGAAATTGTTTCACAGCTCAATTCTAAACCTATGGCTTTTCTGATTTACATGGTGTAACCCACCTTAAAAAACATGAACAGAAGAAAGGAGAGTTGAACATTAAAAAAGAAAAAGAACATTTATGTCCTTTCCTCCACTTACATCTATCCCTTTTCCCCCAGATTTGTCTTCAGTGTTATTTTTGAAATCCTGATGTGCACATGTGGCAGCATTGAAGAAATGAAGAGAACCACCAAGTCTCCTTTTAAGTTTTAAGTTCTAGGCAGTTGTCCATCAATTCTAGAACCATTAGGCTAGTGTCTGGCAGCTTTGAAGTTAGAAGTTTTGGGTTTAAGTTTCAGCCCCATCACTCACTAGACGAGTTTCAGTGAAACACCTTATCTTTTGAGTCAGTTTTCCATCAGCTATAAAATACTAACCTGACATGGATATCAAATCAAAATGTATTTACGCTTTGAAAACAAAAAAGCAAAGACAGAAAAGAACAATGTCATCAACATTTTTTAAAAAATTACCCTTTGTTTTTGCCATTTTCTATTAGCATAATTATATGTTTTTAGTGTGTGATAAAACTATAAACATCTTTCTTGATTTCAGAATATGGAAGTGCTGGAAGATAATTTTCCATTGATCTCTTGCATATCTTGCAAGTGAGGCACTGATTTCTTTTATTACAGACTATTTTTCCAAGGATTTTTATATAACAACCTTGAAAGACAGAGAAAATGTCTCTTTATGGAGCAAACAGCAGGCATGCTTACTATTCCATATAAAAGATTAGGGTTCCCTAACTTTTGGGTTTCTCTACTATAACACAATCAATTTTATGTGGAGCTCTCTGACTGGGCTTGTCCCTGTTGCCCCGTGGGAAGTGGGCCTTGGGGTACTGGTGAAAAGGCTGATACTCTGTCTACTTCTCTTGCTGTAGGGAATAAAGCCTCTTGTCTCTGCCCCAGGAGTCTCGTGTCTTCTAATGATCATTATCATACTCTGTGGCAGGCTAATTTGTTAGCTGGCAAAAAATAAAATCTTAGGCCCTTCACAATTCTCAACAGGAAGTTGGAATGTAAAACGGGGAATGATTTTTCCTTCTATCATGACTTGAGACAATTTTTACAAAATATGTATCAACTTTTTGAGAATGGGCAGTATATTGTGATTAATCTTATAGATTCTATAGCCAGGCTGTTTGGGTTCTAATCCTGAATAGTGGTCTTTTTTAATTTGGGTTCCCAGAAACAGACCCTAAGACACAGATATGAGTGAAAATAGTTTATTTGGAAGGTGATCTTGGGAATCACTGATAGAAACTGATGAAGTAGGAAAGGAGAGGGAAGACAGACAATAAATGATGAATTTTCAAGTGAGTTATGACTGTGGATAGCTAGAGTTTAATCTTGTTTGGGAACTCTTGGTAGCCGATACAGAACATGTACCTCGGATTTTCCTACTTGAGGGGTGAGGGAGCTGGATATTATACACTAAATCACATGAGTCCTGGTTGAGGGATCCTGGAAGAGGGTAGGTACCGATTCTAGTTCTGGATTTTGGGGTCTGCCTTGCACAATGCAAAATAGACTTCCACAGGCCCTGGCAGGTAGATATGAGATTCCGGTGTGCATTATATTAATAAGGCCAAGGGAATATAGCTGGCACAACCACAGCTTTTGTTATAGATAACCTCCTGCAGTATAGTCTTAGGAAGTTACTCAATCTGTTTATGCCCCTGTTCTCTCATCTGTACGATGGGAATAATAGCATCAACCACATATAGTTGATGAAACAATTAAAAATCCAGTCCATGTAAAACACTTAAAACAAGCCATAGTCTTTCATAATACTGTTGTTTTAAAAACAACAGTACTGCTGAACAGTATAGTATTGTTTTAAAAAAATACTGTTTTTCTGCCGGGCACGGTGGCTCAAGCCTGTAATCCCAGCACTTTGGGAGGCCGAGGCGGGTGGATCACGAGGTCAAGAGATTGAGACCATCCTGGTCAACATGGTGAAACCCCGTCT